CACCCCCGCTCCCCACCTCCCAAGGGAAGCACCAGCTCTGCGGGCTCCAGGAAAGGGCTCTGTCCCTCTGTTGTCCCTGGAAGCACCCCAGATACAGGACAGGGAGAGTCCCCGGAGGAACTACAGCCATATGGACAGTCCCCCCTCCCCCAAAAGCGCAGCTCCCAGGCACGCAAGGCACCTTGAGGCTCCACCGCCCCCAACAGGCTGCCTGGAGCAAGCCGACCCCCAACACCTGTCCAGCACACATTAGATTTTAGACTCTCCCATCAGTCCAGACCCCACACCACAGCAGGGATCAGCATCCGGTGGTACAGGGGGCCCAGAGGCAGTCGTGGGGTGCCTGGCTGCACTGGTGAAGGCAGATCTGGGCCCCACTGGGCCCTGACAGAGTGTCCCACACAAAGAAGCTTGGGCATCCTCAGGGCGATGCCCCAATCACCAGTTTCTTCCCAGGGCATTGGACTGTGCTTTGAGGCACCAGGGGGAATCAAGGAGTATGATGGGGCTTTTAGACGGAGCAAGAGGATTGGGGGGCCCAGGGGTCCCTAAAGCAGCCCCCCTCGCCCTCCTAAGGTTCTCCAGGCATCTTAGGGTTGGCACCACCAGGAGGGACGGGCCAGAGAGCCGACAGGGGCTCCACTCTCACTGTGCCTGAGCTCCCCCAGCTGTATGTACCTTCTGCCCTCTCCACAGGGACCCAGCAACAGACTGGCTGCTGGGGGACACAGGTGGCTATTCTCACCCCACCTGTGAGTGGAACACCTCAGCCACACCTCCCCCTCAAGCTGTGCAAACAACCTGGCTGGAGGTCCAGGAGGTGCAGCCTGCCAGGAACACCTCCCGGTTCAAAGACACCCCCCAGCTACGAGGGGACAGAGCTGCCAGACCTGGGGCTGTCAGGGAGAGAAAGTGCAGGCCTGCTAGCCCCCCCCCAGCCCCGTCCTGTCCCCCACGCAGGCACGCACTCGCACTAAGGGAGAACAAACAGGGGGCAGCACGCTCCTGAGACATTCCTGGGACCTGGCACTTGCCCTGTGGCCCACCGTGGTACCCCCACCTGCTAGGACACCCCTGCTCTGGGACCAAAGTGGCCGAGCCTCCCCAGTGTCTCCCTGCAGGGAGAACACACGTCAGCCGCCAGCCTTCAAAGTCAGCTGGGTGCCCTCCTGGGACGCTCTGGCCTCAGTGCTCACCCAAGAATGAGCACCTACCCCACCCAGACACCCATGCACCTGGGTCACCCACCCATGGGCCACACAGGCTCAGGCATGCCCCCCCCCAGCCCGCCCCCCTGAGCCCCAAGCTCTGGACCACCACCTCCCCACTGGCAGGCAGGGAATCTGACTCACCCCGTGTTTGGATTTGAAAGAAGAGAAACACGGCTTTTATTACTTTTTTGGGTACAGATTCTTCTTTTGTGTCTAATATTTAGACAGTGGCACACACGCCGGAAGGGAAGGGAGACACGCCTGACGTCCATCCCTGCTGCTGACACCCCAGCTGGCTACAAAGTTGGGGCCCACTTCAACTCCCATAGACCCCCAGAAGCCAGCACCACCCCCTCCTCACAGTGTGGCACCCTTCACCAGCTCCCAGGGCACAATCAGAGGGCATGGCAGCATGGATGACCATACTCCCCTGCTTGGGGGGTGGGGTGGGGGGGGCGTCCACCAGGGCACAAGCCTGGTGTTTCTGGAATTTTCTGTTTATCACTCTCACAAGCGCAGAAGGCAGAGCCCCACCCTCTGCGTCCAAGCAATGGGGCTCAGGGGAGTTCGGGACACCGGAAGGTGACAGCGGGCCCCCCTGACCTCGCTGCCACCTGCATAGGACTTGATTTCGCTTTCCCGCAGAGTTTAGTCCAATCGGGTTCAAAATCAACGTCACCGCCTCTCCCTCGCCTGAAGATGCCCAAACCCTGGGCAGTGCGGCCAGGCCCCGCGGGTCTCTCCGGCACGCGGCGTGGAAACTTAACTCCTCTACCCACTGTCCCGCGGCTCCTACCGGGGTCAAACCTTTGGTCAACCCAGGGGGAGAATACCCCGGGATCGCGACCAAAGGCGACCACAGGCCACATAAGTCCCAGCTACCCTTCCGGCTCACGCTGGCCTGGCCGCTTCGCTGCCTTGCACTGGTCCCGAGCTGGCTTTGAAACGAGACGCCCATCGGGTCGGGAGAGGCACCGCCCCTGCCCCCCAAGGGCCAAAGCAGGACCCTCTGGATGAAAACCGGCCGGACATCCCGCCCCAAGCGACGCCCCCGCGCTCTCTGCCCGCACTGGTTCCAGGGAGCGCCGGCACGCGGCGGCGGGCGCGGAGGGGTCGTGCGCCCCAGCCGGCCCGGGAAGGATATGGGTTACAGACGAGGCGGAGACACCAGCTGCGCGGCCGCGTGGTCTGCCCGAGGCAGAAGAAGACGGTGGTCGCCAGCGCCGGGTACGGGACAGGCTGCTCCTCATCTGCGCCCAGCTCCGCGGCGCGCCCGGATGCCGGGCTACCGGGGGGCGACGCGCCCAACCTCCCCCCCACTCCCACCCCCGCCCACCCTTTGGCACC